ACGCGTTAGAATGTTTTGATCTTGCACTTACAGAATTGTCGCGTTCAATGATCGGGTATACATTTTACGAACGAGCAAAGATGTTCGAGTGGTATTACGACGATTGCCTGTACACACAAATACGATATATAGCGGCAATACACGACCGTATACGTTTTCCCAAATGGTTACACGACTACGAGTTTTGGGTAATAAGTCGAGGACCTAAAATACAAGTGCGTCACTTTTTTCAATTGCGTTTTTGGCTAGAAAGTTGGTTAATATTTACGCAAGAGAGTGAGCGTATTTTCGACGGCGACGAACAGTATGTAATCGAAGAAATTCTTAAACAGGACGACAGTAGTTTGACGGTTGTGGAGATGATACGTTATATTTTAGAGAAAACACACGTTTTAATTTCCCCTCAATTTGTAACACTTGCAAGACGGGCACGAGGAGCTAAATCAAAACGTTTATCGTTTACTAATATAATTTCGGGATCTCAGTCGATCAACGCAATTCAAGGGGGTATGCACGCAGGAATAGTGGATGAGTATTGAAGAAAAAGAAAAATAATACACATACCGTTGTAATTTTAATATTGCCACTCGAGGCTACAGCACCCATTTCAACGGCTTCATTGACACGAGAGGTAAAGAAAACTAAATATCCTCGGGGTAGAGAAGATATACGCTGTGTATAAGGAACGGCCATAATTTTACACGGGTTTTCTCCACGAACACGTAGATAGATGAACGTTAATTTTTGATCAAATATATTTATGGGACCGGGTGTTGTTGTTATCTCAACAGCCATTTTTTCAAACTGCGAAAGACGCTTGTGTGCAAGTTTTATATAGACAATAGCGGAAGTGTAAATTTTTATGTTAAACATTTTTTAATATGATGTTGCCAGTGTTGTCGAAGATTACAGCTGTTTAAATCGTCTGTACTACATAGTTTACAATAGGGTGTAGTATATAAAACTAATACTTTTTCTTTATTTTGTTCTTTATATTCTTTTTGTTTTTGATCATTTAATGTGATTACGTAGGGTACTACTTCTTGATTAACATTGCAGCGTGTACAAAATACATCACCGTGTGTTCTAAGATAAATTTCTTGCATACATAAACGCGAAAGTTTATTCATATTTCCATAGGCTTGTGATTTGATATTTTCAAAAGTTCGACGTCGGTGTTCTGTGCTTGTCGTTGTAATAAATCTTGCAATGTAATTTTTTCTATAAGTTCATAAATCCAACGTGGTTTGTTTGCGTTGATCTAAAAAAGACAAGAATTTAGTATTTCTGGCGGGAAAAAAAAAAATTCATTTTTTTTATATTGCTTTACCGTTTGGACGCAAATATATTCTCCGGGGTTCAATTTCATTACTTCGACCGATTTTGAAAGGGAGCTTACAGAAAAACGTATCATCGGTCTTGCATGATGTGCGACATTGTGATGCATAGAGGGTACCAGTATAATATTATAAGACAAACATGTGTTGTTATAATAATACAAATATTTTTTACCGCTGAAAGCATTTACGTGTTTGACGGTGACGGGTTCCATTTTGTTTTTTGAGAAAAAACTGGTTAGTAAATTATATAGGGTTAGGGTATTAAGCATTTGTATAGAAAACAAGTCGATTACCATATATGGTAGTAGATTACCTTATTCGACCATTGAGATTGATTTGAAAATTAGTCGGTCTTCACTGTTTCCCTTTTGATGTTCTGTATAATCACGATAGAAAGCTTCTTTTGTTATTTTTTCCAAAAATCCATAGACATCGGCACGTAGAGTTATTTTGATATATCCGTTTTTTTTCAAGAATACCCAACGGTTTAAAATCTGTGGAGGTGTACTGTGCAAAACTGAGGTCAATTTTATGCGTTAAACTCGCATGATGAATTGAGTGAGGACCCCCTGCGAAAATGGGGATATTACAATTGCTGACATTTTGAAGATAGAGATAATCACACGACAAGCTATTAAAATTCATGATCTGTTCTCGTGAAAGAGTATTTAAGAAGTGAGCGAATATATGTATTTTCATTTTTTATATAGCATGCGGAAATGAGTAAATCTAGCCAAGTAATCTACATAGTAATTTCGATATCATTGTTGTATGTTATTTTTTTAAGCGTGTTGTATAAATTTTTGTTAAATGGCGACTTCAAATGTGCCGTCTACTCGAATCTATGATGACAAAGACGAAGACTGGTCTATACAAGCCGTGTGCGGTGACGCTGATATAAAACCTCCAGAGGGTTGGACGGGTAGTTGCGAAGATCAAGTGGAGTTGTTCACAGAGATTTTGGCGTATGTTATTGATCGCGAAATTTGCAAACAAACTCGGGGTTGTCGTAGCGTGGAATATTATAAGAAAGTGGTTCCGGATTTCATAAAGTTGGGATATTATACTCACGCATGTCGAGAGTTTCACGATTTCTTAGCTCTTTGGGAAGTCGAATATAAATCCGAGACGGGTATAGAAGAGCGTGAGTCGAGGCGTGATCCCGACTTACCTGCACGGTTGTATCGTTGTCGTGTGTTAGCTATTTGTCCCGATGGTAAAGTAAAAAAGTACAGCGAAGTATACGAGCAGTTACGGAATAAAGAATGGGAACTTTAACTGACCTGACTGAGGAGATATTTTTTTATACAGTTGCAAGTTTGTATGTGAAACAAAAACTAGCCCTAGAGAGCGATGTAGACATGGAGACGTGGCAAAGTGTGGTCCCACACGTATTGTTGGAACATTGGCCCGCGATACATGAACTTTATTTTATAATGACTGGTTTACATCACGAGAACGATTTAGAAGACGAGGGAGATGATTTAGCACATACCAGTTCATATATGTATGTTAGATTGACTAAGTATGAAGAATATTTTTACACTGTAGAGTTTGAGTGTTTGGAAAATGTAATAATTCACTTTTGTTTAATGTAAAGTTTATGTACAAGATTCTTTAGATGCAAATACGTGTTCATCTTGACTATCATTACATATTTTTAAAACTATCTGTTTTTGAGTTTTATATCTTTGAGCATGTTCGAGAGTAATTTTTGCTCCATCTATTTCTGTAATCAAACTTTTAACTGCATTCCGATATTCCTCCGATAAAAATATCTGTTTATATGTTTTTCGTATAGTTTCCACGGGAACATAATTGTTGCGCGTATCAAAAAACATCTGGCAATCCGAGTGACATTCCTGACAATCTGCCCGATATTTCTTTGGTGGGTGGGGGCATGGGTCGACTATCTCTTCTTCTCTGTCTGTCGTATTGTTTTCGTTCTCGTTCCTTTTGTCTTCGCTCTCGTCGCTCTTGTTTTCGTTGTCGATTTTTTGTTTCTGCTCGTGCTTTTTCTCTTCTAAAAAATCATTTTCCATTTTAATACATAACGTATTAAGGGCACACACCATCTCATCGGAATCAAATAAATTTTCAAGTCTTTCATCTAAAAGAAGTAAAGCGTTATTCGCTTGTTCTTCGTTGTACCTTCGTAAATAGGAATTTACACCCATTAGCAAAGGATATTCGCGTCGGTAATAATCATATTTTACACGGGGTGCTGATGCATATTCAGGGGTTTGACGGCGCCAGACTCCAGGGGGAATCGCTGTTTTTGCGGACGATTCGGATACAGCGTTCGTTTCCGCAATCGCACTGTTCTGGGCTGACGCGCATGTGTGTGTAACAATAGTACTTGGATTCATGATCGTCGTCTTGTATGCCTTTTGCGGGAATAAATTTAATGGGTTTTGCCGTATAGGGTGCGGGTCGTCGTTTTTTCGAGGGTTTTTTCACGGGTAAACTTGATGCGGGTGGTTGAGGTTGTGCGGGCTCTTCTGTACGTTCTAGTTCGGCTTCTTCCATTTTTTTTACGATTGTAAAATATAACATGCGGCTAATACTTGCGGCCATACATTTATTACACCCCTTCGTATTGCAAGGGTTCACCGGTAAAGGAGCTTCTGTTCTACACTCGCTCATCTTGACGTAAAAGATTTTTTTGAAACATGGGGTCTAAATATTATGCGGACTTGGCTGACGATAGTAAGTTTTGGGAATTTAAAAAAGTATTATTCGATATTTAATCGAGTTGTAAAAAAGTATATATTTTTTGCATTTAGTTGGTCAAATGTTTGGGAAATCGTGTTCATTAAAAAAAACGTTGTCCTGTACGTGTGTTACTTGTGCGAGACGATGTTGGGAATCGGGAAGTTGGATTTGTCGTGCGATAGAATGTTTTTGTGAGGAACGTGTAGAAGTTTGCGTGGAACGTGTATCGGATGAATCGAACGAGTTTCGCGTGGATTACGTGTGTGCGGATCGATCTTGTCGTTTTAAAATAAACGCATTCGATTCAAATTTTTAAATTTACACGAGGATTGTAGATAATATAAAGGAGTATATGTTTTTTCATGAACGTACTATTTGTACGTGTAAACGACTTGTTCGCGCAGTAGTAGAGCGCGTAACGGTGGGTTGCGGTGTAACGGACCCCACCAAAGAGAAATCGATTGATTTAAATAATGAATATCAATTGTTGTTTGTGTGCGACGAGAAAAAATGTAGCTATCGCCAATCTTTACCCCAAATTGTTCAGGCTCGAGGCGATAAAATAAGATGTCTTTGTAATGGCGACGCTCACTACGATGCAGAGAAAAAAACATTTTCATGCGCTCGTAAAGTAACGTGTGGGGTTTGTTTTCACAAAATGGATTCGTTAACGTACATGCATGTAGAGCAGGCAAAAAACGGTTTGGAAGATTCCGCATGGGTAACCATCAGACGTCGTGCGCCCGATATATGTGGCAAACAGAGTATATTAAAATATCGTATTGATGATAATTTGCACGGTGAACTATTGTATGAATGTAATGTAAATAATACGTGTAGAAAAACTCAACGCGATATTTATGTACCAATGATGTATTAAATTTTTTTAAAAACAATTTACAAGTTTTTTTCTTATTCTATCCAAATATTTTTAGTAATTGTAAACTACTGCCTTCCAAATATTTTTAGTAATTGTAAACTACCGCCTTGTTGTTTTTTTCCTACAAATCCTCCCCGTTGTTTTAATCGTCCTCCGCGTTGTCCACCCATCCCCAGCATACCCAACAGTAGGGGTAAAATACCGCCTTGTTGTTTTTTTCCATAACCACGTTGACGGTAACTAGCACCGGGACTTAACATCATAGGTCGTCTCGACCATTCTCCTTGTACGATACCGCCTACGCAAGATAATAGTTTAGCGTATTTTTCCGACCCTTTGAACCCAAGACATTCTTTTACGTATTCGACCACCTGTTTGTTTATCGGAGTCACTAAATCCATAGTTTATGGAATCGGTTAAAAACCCACCTTTTTGTTTTGTTTTTTTGCTTTTTGAACGTTGATATTTTTTTCCCTTAAAACTACCCCCATTTTGTTTACTTCGACGTTGTTTAACCATGGCTACGCAACAGGGAAATGTATTACCCGTTAAAAAAATAAATTATATATATGTCAACGTACACGATGCGCTATTTGATAAATTCTATCGTGTAAAATGTTTATGTGGTTATCAGTTTGAATTTCAAATTGCTGTCACGTCATTGACCACACCGTACGAGAAAGATTTAACATTATTTGAAAAGACCGTGAAGGGTGACGCTAGTTTTTTACTTACGCGAGGTGTTGAAAGGAAACTTACGATATATTTTGATTCGAGTACACATGTGAGAACGACTTTTCCGTGCTGGCAATGTTGCGAGATAATCTATTTACATGTTGTGCGTAATTCCTAAATGTTAGTTTTATTCGAGGAACATTTGTACAACGACTGTGTCGTGTTTGAATCTTATTGTGGTTCGATTGATTCACAGGGTTCGTTTGTATTTTCAGTACTTTACCGCGGATTCGTATTCAACGCTCATGTTTATTATGACAGTTATTTGACACACGTAGATTTACACCGTATATCGGGGAGCGATACGTACACGGACGCGTTGGGAGAGCACGTGGATGCTGTTGTCGATGCTTTTTGGCTATATTGTTATCACGAAGTAAACGTACGAGAGATTTTTGATCCCGAAGAGACGATTCGACGAAAATTATTTTCAAAACATCGCATTTATTTGAGTGATATTCGAATTTGGCGTGGATTTTTCTTTACGACTCGCCGCAATGCAGGCGCTATTGGATCAGACGCTAACCGTAGTACCTCCTACTAGACAAATAGTATTAATTAACGAGGAAAAATTTATTACTCTTACTAAATATTTAGATTTACACTGTTATAAGTGCATCACAGACTACATGTGGTTTTTTTGCTTTAAGCTAACTAATACATTTAAAACCCTAACATATTGCAACAATAATTATTTTAAATGTTTTATAGAACATTTAGACGATAAACGTGTGGTGATTCTCGAACATGATGCACCTGATTTTACAGAAACATTTGTAGATTTATGTAATAATAATACGTTGGCAATGTACGTAGCGGTATGTGTAATATTTACGGTATATATCTTTTAGATGATTATTATTACTCATTTACACAAACGCTGACTTTTATTCGACTGTTGAATAAATGTGAAAAACCATTGACAATAGTACGTAGTCGTAATCGTGACGCATTTGCTATAAGATTAACATGATGACTGCTATGTTATATATTGAGGGACCTCATCGAAATAAATATGATAAATATACGTTTATGTATCAAGAAATGTTATATGAATGTCATCAATATTGGCGTGTTGAACGCGACGGCGCAGATTTTATTTTATGGATGCATCAACGAGATAAAGAATTTTGTGTGAGAATGCATATTCATACGGGTAAAATATACGATGCATCGCATCGACTACACGCGTATAGTTTTTACGTATCGACACGACGCGCGTATCAATATCACTTGTATATGTTATATGCTTATTGTAAGCAGAATAAAGATACGCGTTTCGTCCTATTGAAGGATATGATTCAAAAACATTTTTTACGTCAGGGTGTCTATTTGGATAAGTCTGTTTTTCAATTAATTATTTTTATCCATTCGTGTAATACGTGGTGGGAGTATGTTGACAATCGCCAGCACGACGGGTTTTCGAACTGGTCGTTAATCAATTCGTTTTAAAAAATGGCTTCTTCTACGGTTTTATATCGAGAATCTTTGTACACGTGTAATCAATCTTGGTTTGTCGAGCGTCAGGGTGATGATTTTGTATTATGTATATATTGGGGAAACAAGAAGTTTCGAACAACAATACATACAGTGTCTAGAAGTCGTACTCTTTTCGATGTGTACACGATTTATAATCATCGTCGATATTTGTTTTTATTATACAACTATTGCGAACGTCATAAAAATATATCCTTTAACGTGTTTAAAGAAACGATTCGAGAACGTTTTTTACGCGCGGGTATATATTTGCACGCGTCTGTTTTTCAATTAGTTATTTTCCTACATACGTTCACAGTACGCTGGAACTATTCTATGTCTTTCGAGGGGGTTATTACTCGCTATAATGACAACATATGTCGCACCTATAATTAATACCGACAAATGGTATGCACACTATAAGTTTGGTAGCGACGAAGAACTAGAACAATTTATACATTTATTAGATGATTTCGTGGGCGAATACGTTTACCCCAAAGCTCGACACATATTATTTCCTAACAATGAGAAAACAGATCTCGTGGATGTCATGTATCAAGTGATGGACCCCGTGTGGTTAAGTAAAGGTCTGGGTCAATGATTGTGGGCGTTGGGGATTGCTCGATTAATTTGTCAAACGTATGGATCGATAAGTTTTTCTTGTATAAATCGGAAATATAAATATATGGAAAAAATGTACGACAATGTGCACGAAGTAGATTTAATTTTAAAAAGTACAAGGGCTAAAAAGAATCTCGCAGTGGCTCTTGGGGGTTTCTTGGGTGTCTACACACTGTATAAATTGACGAGTTTTTCAGTTTCGATTATTAGTGATCTGTTGCACTAGACAACATGTCCTCCACGGTGAACTATAGCGTGTATGGAAAACGTTATGCGAACGCTCAACATTTATTTGAAAGTTATGCAAATAAAACCAGTAAAGTCGGGTGGTATGAGAAATTCGACAAAAAAGTTCACCTTGCATCAGGAGTACTCGCAAGAGGGGGCGAAACAAAATTTTTATATAAGACATGTATTGCCATCACGACCGATGAACTGCTCGAGATAGCCGAACAGCTGAAGAAAGCAGCGCGTACGCCAGGAGCAAGCAACGAGTTTTGTATTTCAGAAGGCACCGATTACAAAGGTGACGAAACCAAATTGGTTCTTCGCGACAGTGATTATCAAGGTTTGGTATTATTGCATATGAACGCAAAGAAAGCAGATATTGTGGTTGACGAGGATTCAGACGAAGATCCCGATCCAGAACCCATCGAAGACGAAATTGTTGAAAATGTGGTGGAATGGTCTGAGTGTTTCGAGAAGTTCTACATCTCGAAACGTGATGATTGGAAGAAATTTAGCAAAATTATGTTGGCAATTCACAATGATGTCACGCATCTCAACGATGTTGATCGAGAATCAGTGATCCCTCCTGCTGGTGAACCTCAGATGCAGAAGCAGATCGTGGGCCCCTCTACAACTTCTACAACGACCAAGGGTGGTGGAAAACGTGGTGCAGGTGGTAGTGGTGGTAGTGCGCGCAAGAAAGCTCGCCCGACCAACGCAGAGTTGTTCAATCGTGAAGAACAGGTAATAAATCGGGTACGCCCCTCACACACACCTCTACGCCCCTTGAAACCCATACCCCCTCTACGTTCCCGTAGTTTGGACAACGATCAAGCGATAAAATACAATAGATCTCAAAAACATGCTGTGCAAGTAACGTGGTCTGAGCCTTTAGTGAAAAATAGTTAAATTTATATATTTTTTTTTAGAAGTTACCGCCAAAAACGGCGTTGGCAACTATTTTTCAATATATGCTCGCGGGTAGTACATTAGAAGATACCGTTCTTAAGCATTTAGATGAATTAAATAGTGAAGCACCATTCGATTATATGCAGTTAGCTCGAGATCGACCCGCCATATTGTTTACGATGTACGAAGCTATTCAAGCTCAAATGGTGGTTGATGAGTAAAAAGATTTTGTTTTTTTCTCCACAGAACTGACGATGTCAAGTAAAAACATTAGTCGTGAACTGATAAAAAAAGCAGCACGTCTTTTGAAAGGAGAAAAACTTACGAATGAACAGCAAGCGGCGTATAGACTGCATGCTCAAAAACGTGTTAAATACAAACGTTTGAAAATTCATGTAACTAGACGTAATCAACAATGGAGTATTGATTTAGCTGATTTAAATAATTTGTCAAGATATAATAATCAATATCGTTACATGCTTGTGTGTGTTGATGTATATTCACGTTATGGAATGGTAAAATTATTAAAGACTAAGTCCGCTCGAAATGTGGCGAATAAATTCGAGGAACTTCTTCGAGAATACGGCGTACCGGAAAAAGTTCAAAGTGATGAGGGTACTGAATTTTCTATAATTAAACGAGATCTTGCCCCACGTTATGGATTTCAATTATTCTCTACGTTTAACCGCGAAACCAAAGCGGTTCATGCCGAACGTTTTATTCGAACATTTAAAGAAATGGTCTTGCGTTCTCTGACAACGTTGAACTTAAAATATTGCTATGTCGATTATCTACCCATCGTCATCGAACGTTACAACGAATCGCCTCACGCGGGTATATTTGACGCGACCCCGCATGACGTCTATATCCGGGGTAAATCCCTTAATACCCGTAAGCTTTTGAAACGTATGCTAAACAAATCGCAACCCACGCGTAATTTACTTCACGAAGGCGATCGTGTTCGTTTGTCGCGTGTAAAAAACAATATTTTTGAAAAATCTACTTTACAATGTTGGGTTCGTGAAAAATTTATAGTGTACAAAGTTTTAATCACCGATCCAGTTACGTACGAGCTGCGTGATGAGAAAGGTGAAAAAATAAAAGGTATTTTTTATCGTGAAGAATTACAAAAAATATGAACATTCAAATCGTAAGTAATGCGCCGAACAACGAGGGGCGGGAAAACTATAATAATATTTTCACGATGCCCTTACCCGAAGAAATAGATGCGGAAAATCTTGATCGCGAAATACGTGTTTTAAATATTGCCTATCCCCAAACAATCGAAAACGTTCACGAAAAACAATGTGGTATACGTATTAAAATTAATATGGGGAATATTACACGAGCCGATCAAGTTGTTAAATATCGTACGCCAATGATGTATTTACCCGCGGGACATTATGGGCTCGAAGACATGTTAGAATATCTCAATGAATTAGTTGACGAATACGACATGGTTTTTGTAAAACAAGATGGGGGGCGTGTCGGTGTTAAATTTAACGGGGTTATTCAATATATTTATCAAGCTAAAAAACCGTCCTACGCTGAATTATCTAAACCCTATACAAGATCATCATCGTTTGATTTTGAAATGACTCCTAGTTTAGAATACATGTTAGGGTTGAACGAATGGGTCGTACATCCCGACATGGTCGCTGCTAAAATTGGTCATGCACAAGCACATTTACCCTGGCTACAATTTATTCAAATCGCTGGAGATGAACGAAAGCTTGAACATTTTACATTTTACGGAAAACATATGCCGGATATGAGTAATGGAATAAGTAAATTAATGATTTATTGTGACGAAGTAGAACAGTCGGTTGTGGGGAATACAAAAGCAAGATTATTAGCATCTGTACCCATTAATGTTGAAAAACAGGGTAGCTCTTCTTTGGGTGTATATTCTCCACCGGATACGTCTCGAAAATTAATCAAGGGGCGTATCAGCGCTTTACACATTGGTATATATGATACACACTACGACCCCATAAATTTCAGTGCTGGAGTAATTACGTTGGAAGCTATAATAGATTAAAAAAATGTTGCGACTTGAGTTGAAAGTTAAAAATAAACGGTTGATCGTAGAAAAATATCTACTACATGATCAATTCAAAGGGTTTACGTTAAATATTAAACCCCGAAAACGATATTATGTTTTAAACATGATGAGAACAAATTTGCGGAACGGCGATTGCACAGTCTATTATTGTCGTAAATATCAATTTTCCGCTTGTCAAGATGGTGCTATCACTACTCGTAAATATTTCGGTAAAGGTGGTGAATTTTACGAAGTTAAAAATATGGATGCATTTAATGCTACGAATGAGGGATTTGGGTGTCAACAATTGCGTTATTTGACAACGGTGGACAAAAATAATCCCCACTTACATTACCAAGCGGAAAAAAGAATTATACCCTCGTTTATGTTCGTAAGCGATGTACAATTTATAAACGAAAGTGTTCATTTTGAATTACATTTCGGCGCTGATATACACAAAGGCGATTTGGGCGGAGAGGAAGGAAGATATATTGTATTGGAATTTAGTATTTTTGAAAATGATTAAAATAGAATTAACAGTTTCAAACGCACGACTAATTCCTACAAAATATTCGTTTATGGATACGAAGGACTATAACCACAATAAACCCCGACGTCGTTACTATAACGTAAATAAATTGGATAGCGATGATTTCGGTTATGGTTATGACTCTTGCTCTATTTATTTTCGACGTTATCACCCTTTAAACACGTTAGATGAGAATGTTGTACCCAAAAAAATTTCTTATCAACGGGGTGGTGAATATTGTGAAATTATAAGTATGGTTAATCCTATTTATGAAACATATGGTTTACACGAGCAAAGATATTTGACTACATTGGAAAAGAATAATAAATCCCTATATTATGGGGGTAAAAGGAAAAGAATACCTTCATTTTTTTGTGCCAAAGATCTAGATGAATTTAAAGCACTTGTTTTTTTTGAAATGACATTGAACAGCGGAAGAGAGACCTTTTTTACACCTAGAAAGGGTAAAAAAATTTACATAGAACTTAATTTGTACGATACCGCTGCCGAGTAAACATGTGCGATAAAGCGACTTATATTCGATATTTAAAAGGAGAGGGAGTACACTGTCCCGGTACAAATTTATGTATAATAAGAAATGATCAAACGACAAAAAGTACAGAAGCGCGAGCATTGGAGCAGATTGCACCTCCGAGTAAATTAAACCCAAATTATAAGAATACCAGACCTCCCAGGGTGGGTAAAGTACAAACGCCATCTCGCAGAATCGATCCTCGAATTTTAGAACAACTACTTTATGGCAAGTAAACGAAGAAACGCTGCAAAGTTTGCAAGACTAGCTCTTTTGTTATCCGCATTAAAACATGCTAAACCAAAACGGAGAGGGAAAAGAAAGAGTAAAAAACATTCGAAAAAACAACGCGGGGGTGGTTTTGGGGCAGGGATGGCATTAGGAACAATGGCTCCGATGGTTCTAGGTACACTCGGCAAGATTTTAAAAATCAATGTATAAATAGAGTATAAACGAAATAAATTAGTTGCAAAAAAAATCACGTGTGTGTGTATTTATATTTCTTGCGCGACAATCTACGTCATTGTACTTATCACCATGATCGGTCGAGGGGCTAAACGTGCGCGAGTCGATGACAGCGGAGCTGAAGAGGTGGAAAAACATGACGGGGGGTTTGTTACACCCCTGCAAATGTTCGCCACCTTTACTCATAACATAACATTTGAGGAAACGCGCAAATTAAAACTTCTTGCCACTCCGGCAGCAAGTCCCGATTCAAACATGTATACTTTTATTCACAACCGGCAAGAATATGGTGTCATGCGGTTAGAAGATGCCACCATATCGGCAGATTTGCAGGTTACAACCGCAGCCAATGGAAATCCTGCCGCTACCCTTAGAGTGGCACCCATGGCACGACCTTTAGCATTCGGTTGGAAAACGAAAGAAATATATGTAAACAACGATCTGGTGAATACTACCACGACGCATGAATCAGAAATTAGCTATGTCAATGCATTTTTGACAGAAACACCCGACGGTCGGTATGATAAACGCGATTTGTGTTTGGGGTGGTACGATACTGCGGGTCAGTTTGATGACACCGTGGGATTCCAAAATGGTACTAACACCGTCAACCATGGGGGTCGTAGAAGAGCAAGAGCGGTAAATCAAGGGGCAAGATTTAAATGTTATGACAAATTAGATTTGTTGGGTCATAATAAACGATTTTGCCCCACTTCTTTTGACGTTAAAGTGGAATTAACGAGATTGAGCAACGACAAATTTTTCCATGGTGTCGATGCAAATGTTACTGCAAGCAAGATGAGGTATCATGATTTAACATTGACAATTCCCATGATGAAACCCGTCGCTCAATTATCTGCCGCAATTAATGAATTGATGATTCAGAATTCGGAAGAATGTAAATTTTACACCACAACCTATTGTTATGTGGGCAAACCGTTGGCTGTCGGGGCTCAGAATGTTCAGGTGAATGATATTTTTAATGGTGGGCGACCTACACGATTTATTTGTTTCCAGAAAACCCAGGCGCGGTACAACGGCGATAACGAGCTAAATTTTCACAGCATGCCATTTCCCGACATCAATCATTTTCAAGTGAAAATCAACGAAGCTAATATCCCACCGTTAATTACCAACGCGAAAGAAGCATATTTAAATCTGGTTCGTGTTTTAGACAGACGTCATAGTCAAATGCCTGTGACGTATCCCGCGTATGAATCTGATTTTGGTATCATCGTAGTCGATTTAACGACTAATCGAGATAGTTACAATCAGGTTCTACCCAATTCGACGGCAGGTGTAGTGAGCGTCGATATAAAATATGCTGCAGCATTACAAGCCGCACAACAATTGGTTTTTATTGGTGAGTTTAGAAATCAATTGTCCATCGGGTATAAGACGGCTGCCCGTAATAAATTTGAATTCTAAAATGGGTAAAATTAAAAATAAACGTTGCTGTATTAGAAAAGCCGGCGAAGCAAAAAAATCAAACAGACTGTTAAGACCCCCAGACGGTAAAGTTATAAGTTCGTACGGTCGCTCACTACCCACGTTACACGTTCACCCTGTTATTTCGCAATATGGCTGAACAAGACGATGTAGCACAAGTGTTGGAGGAAGAGGAACAATCGGAGGGGGAAGTTGAAGAAAATGAATCCTACGAAGGGGACGACGAACATGTCGAAACAAACGACGAACAAGAAGAACCCGAAGAAAATAATGTAGAAGGGGAAAAATGTAGCGGGGACGAGATGTACATCGACGATTTATGTGAAAGCGATGACGAAAAAGATGAAAAACACGCTTTAAGCGACGAATTATTTAGTAAAGTACTTAGTGATTTAATACAATTAAAATCGCGTGATGATAAAAGAAAAAAATCACACCTTGTTCCGAGTGTAACAAAATTTTTAAACACGACCATTACAAAACGTTCGATTTCCAAAGATGTCAAAAAAAATATGCTCAATCTTTGTCAACATGTATATCGGGGAAAAATACCCGTAACTATATCAATTGATAGTAAACGTTTTCTTGGGCATTTGCTGGACAAGCGTACGCCCAAAGAAGACGTTAACGTTGCATTGAGCGAGAATTTAATAGTTCATTCGATATTACGCGAAGCTCTTGATCTAATAGCCAAAAAATGAGCGATGGTGTAAGAGAATTGACGTTGGTAGACTCGGAACGGTTTAATAAACTTATATCAACATTGCAACAAACTTTAGAACGTAAAACTATCATAGAGCAAGCAACCGCACCTAACGAGGAAGAGGATTATGTACGAAGTCACGATGATGTAATGAAAAGTGTAAAAAATAAAGATGATTTAGCTGGTATGAAAATTGTGAATTTTTTAAATAAAAAGGATAAGCTAAAGGGCGTTCAAAAAGCAACGGGGCAACTCCCTAAACCCCCCGACGCTCCAAACCCTGGCAGTGTGACACCGGGTCAGCGTCGTGCTCAACGTCCCGGCACTACGGTGGATGCTGCAAACGAAAGAATTATGGAAATTTTTAAACAAGAGGGCGTGTCACGGGGGGGTAACGGAAATGTTGTGCACAAGGGCATGCGTTATAATATACCCTATACAGATTTACTTTATGATCTAACACACAATACGACAGAAAAGACAGCCAATTTGACATCAGTAGAATCTGAACAAGCCATGCGATTATTAAGAAAAATTAAAATGCCCGCCTCGCACATTCGCAGTACATGTCTTCGAGGACAGTATATAAAAACTCGTACAACACGTGTGTTACCCGAAACACCTTCGACAACTAGTGAAGAGGATTCCTTTACGTCAACACCTTTTGGTCGACCACCTTCGAGAATACCTCAACCCCTACGACGTCACACGGCATCGGCACCCTATAATCGTCGATCACGTACCGCGCATTACACACCCTATCAACAATTGGATCGTCAAATTCGTGACCTATTGCATTAGAATGACTAGTTTCGTTTGTTTTGTTAGCAAATTTCTAGACACCGACCATTTAAATAAATTGGCACAAACTAATAAAATTCTTGCTCCCTATTATTTGGGGTGTTATCCCGCAAATATATATCCCACACCCGTACGTTCGTCTTGTTGTTGGATATGGAATATCGACGAGTCCGACAAACCCGGTACACATTGGGTGGCGGTGGTGAAAAATAAAAAAAATATCATTTTTTTCGATAGTTACGGTAAAACACTCTCGTTTTTTAAACGTAACTATTGGCTAGACTATTTTCGCGATACACTTCATTGTGACGTCACCTACCAAACCCGTATACAATACCAATCTTATATTAGTCGAACGTGTGGGGCGTGGTGTCTCCTATTTCTATGGAACTATTGGAGCGACGAAAACATATTCGTGCAAATGAACAAAAGGGACTTGATGGAAAACGAACAACTACTACGTACACTAGTCTATAAGATTTTCCCGAAAATTGTAAATATCTATAAGACGAAATGTCGTAAACACAAGGGACAAGTTTGTAAATCTTTTATGCAATCATATTTATTAAAAAAATAATTTTTTACATGTCTGGTGTACATTCGTAAATTACAGTTTTTTCACTGGGTAAAATACCCGTACGAATTCGTGTATTACTATAACCTCGTGGCGAACCATCGAAGCAAATATATCCGTATTGGCTTTTCTTCTGTACAGATTTAATTACTTTGTGAATTTTTTTCAAATTAATCTTTTTATTCGAAGCAATCATTTCTATATTTCGAAGATCCGTGTAGTTGTTAAACATCACGTGATACTGGCTATTAACGCGAGCGTTTCGTAATTTACCATTTCCGTAATTTAAATCTTGACATACGAAAATAACCGACATGTTTGCATGATGGCTATCGCGTGAGGCTATATTATTTAAATTTTCTATATATTTTGTATCGGACGCTGCTAGAATCATCAAATCGTCTAGAACCAAAAGTGTAGCGTTGCCCAATTTATTTTTTAGTTCGCTAACGGTGGGGATACCCAGTGCACTGCAATCCACAAACTCGAATGTTTTTAATTTTGACTTTGCACTGTTCCTACGTATTACGTCTTTAATGTCATCGTATTTCGTTTGGTCTGTACTGTACAGATAGACAAGTTTATCGGGTGTGGGTTTAATCACCTCGTCGATGTTCGTTATTATTTTCTTGATGAACTCTGTTTTTCCACATTGTGTGGGTCCACACATGGTGAGCATAAACGGATGGTGTAAGGGTAACGCGGCGTGATCAATGCATTTTTCCTGAGAAAAAAAAATATAGAAACTCATAATCCGTAGCCGAACGGAAGTGTTGTAAAATCGTCACACACGATATGTTTATCGAATGTAAAATGAAAAGTTTTTTCTTTATTTTCCACCGCAATCGTTTGACTATTACACCGGGCAAATTCACGATAGACGACCGTAATTTCCCGACTATGATCACGAACACAACTTGAGATAGCATCGAAAGTAATTTTCTTTTTGGCATCGCCCTGTAAACGAAAACCCTTAACATGCGTCACCTCGTCGACACGTTCCTCGCGTGTACCATCCTCTAACGTTTTAATATACCTATTTGTACGATATGAATAAGATTTTGGACCCGCCGCACAAAATTCCGTAATCCATTTTTCCGTACAATTTTTCTCGCTTAATTCATCGGTTAATTGCCCCAAATATTTACCCGTTTCCAAATATTTTCCCCGTACCCGATCTTCCCTGTAAATAACCGAGTCCGTATCATAATATAAAACATTCTCCTGTAGTTTGTCAAGTACTGAAAATAATTCTAGACGTGCATACGCGGTTACAAACGAAGCGATTACTACGTTACGATTACCCAGAGTTGTTAGCGCGCCTGATATTTTTCGATGAGTGGTGCGTGCAATATTATCGCTTATAAAATCCAACGAGGTCACCTCGATTGTTTTATCGTTTACCAATTGTAACAAGTCGTCAAAATCGTCGAGAAACGACACCACGGTGGTGTCTTCGTTCTGTGCTAATTTCCCCCATAATGAATTTAAAAGAGCTTTCATGACCGTACGTTGCCCGGGATTATGCCCTATCTTTGAAGCATCTAAGTAAATTTGTTCGTGATCTGCATATTCTTGTATGTATGCTTGTAATTTTACATTATCGACGCTGCCATCGTCTTTTATACACTGACGTGGCATACCACTACTTTCCTGTTTTAATTTCATGAACGTATCGACGTACAAATCAAAAATTTTAGCACTATGGGTATAATGATAAACTTCGTAAATAGCAAGTATTTTATACCCGTGTTCGAGCGCCACGTGAACTTCTACACTTGTCCACGTGCCGTACAGTGCTCGTTGCTCGTCATCGTGTGTACACTTGTCGCATTGATTGCGCGCGCAAGTCGTACAAAGAGCAAACGTTAATTTTTCTAACCGTATGGGTAATACGGGAAATAGCATAGTAAGTGGGGCTAACATTTTACATTTAATTAACCCGAAAATTTGAGAAACATTTAATTTTGCACATTTGTCAACACCTCGCGTAATCTCCGGATGTTTTGTCGGATAACGATATTTTTTTTGAACATACGGATATAGGGAAGTAAAGTCGTAATAACGAAGTTTCTGTTCCGAATCCTTGACATCATAAAATAATATCGCCGGTGACGTCCGCCCGCCAAATAAGGCGTCACGGGGATTTAAATTGATGTAGGTGAAATATTTCACGTGACCCAATTCAAGAATGGTATTTCGCGATAAACTACATTCTTGAATGTATTCGCATTCCCATTTTTCCACGACTGTAAAATGATAATCTTTAAAAAGATCCGTGATTCGACGAGTTTTTTCACGCAGCACATAAAATCGTTGCCCGTTCACTTTGTTTATATCACCGCTTTCAAAACATTCGCTACAACCATGAAAAAAACAACCATGAAATTGATAAATCGTATTCGTTTCAGCACAATAGCCGTCCACAAAATAATTTAAAATATTTTCCTCTCCTTCGGGCGACAACTTACTTCGCAACGAATAGCTTTGCGTTTCAAGATTTTCACGAATCTCCTCGAGCCAATGCAACGCTATAATACTTTGATTAACATTCCCGCCGTAACCCGTCGGAGGAATTTGTCCGATAACATCTTCTTTTAAAAAATTAGCACGGTATATTTTCAATGCTAAACCCGCGATGGTGTGACATGTGCGATCGTAAAATGGGAAAATTTTCGTAATATTTACGATGAGACGTGCAAATCTCACACACCCCTGCCGCAAAATATCCACGTCCAGACGACAATAGTAATAAACGGCATCGCGAAATATATACGTTTTTGTTTTTTGAATTTCGTACCATTTATTAAATGCTTCCATATTCTCTTCGCGACTTAAATCAAAATACTCCAACCCTACCATGGGACCCACATAATTTAAGTCTGTAAAAAAATGGGGATGATACCCTTTTGCAAGATCGGGTATATCCATTGCTTCGGGAATTTTACTCAAGGGCATGGCCAAAAACAAATAACTATCAATTACCTTAATCGAAATATCGCCGTGCCGAATTTCCATGCTCATGATTTTATTACCGTTCATGACAGTATGCGGAACCACACCCTTTTTTACTAACAATTCCCGAAGTAGAAATATATTATCGAAACGCCCCCCGTTGTGTGCTATCCACACGCTATTGTTGGTTTGAGCAAACATGAAACTAATAAGTAATTCGGTAACGTCCTCGTTATTATTTTCAAAAACATATTGTCTGTGCATACAACATGCTACGGGTTCGACGCTATTGTCGCAATGCTTTATCGTGGGATGTGGCAAAAAATTATCCTGTGATCTAACAAACTCTTTCTCGTCGCATTGGCTACAAACTTTTTGTACAACGGCATAAAAGGGTACCATAAGTTTCTCGTCATTCAAACGCGTTTCGAGATCGTAAAAATACAACACGGGCAATACTTCACTGGCAGGAATTTTATACGGTTTCATGTAACAGGCATGACCCTGATCCTTGATAGCATTACAGTGAAGACAATAAAATTGACCGCATTTGTGTTTAATCGATTTTTTTGTACTAATCCGCGTCATACGTGGTACGATTCGATAACAAGTTTTACAAAAAAAGAAAAAACGACAGGCGGGTACATTTTTGCTGTAGTTGTTTTTAAAAATAGCATGCGTTAAATGTTTTGTAAAACATTCCCTATTATGAAACAGTACATGACATTCGCTACATTCGATTTTAAAACCCTCTTCGCTGGCACATTTTGCTTCGTGAGCGTAACATTTCTTACACGTATTTACCGTGTGACAAACGTGGCTCGTGGCATTTTCAAAAACACGAAAGTATTTCATACATTTCATGCAAAAACGGGATCCGCTATTTTTCATAAATTTTCGCGACGATAAAATCAAATCAAAATGAGCGTCATTCAACCAAAGAAAAATAACATTCTCGGTAATACGGTGAATATTTCCCGACGCATCTAAACGCGAATCGTAAACGATGGAATCGTGTCGAGCTTTAGAAAAAATAACCAAATCAATATTGTCCGCGCGTAAATAATTCTCGTAGAACAAATGACATTGATCATCACGTACGGAACCCTGGGGTACATCGGCGCATGCGTAAACATCGTCGATCTGCGCGTCTGTATACAACGTCGTGAGTTCCGTGTTACGTCGTACGTTTAAAACATCATACTGTTTGTCTTTTTGCAAAAACGATTTCCCCACCAGCAAACTAAGGGCAAAACATTTTTTACTACTTACCACTTGAAAAACACCGTTTCGTACCCCCCGCCCATGCTTACTCACCGATGTGCGTCCGTTACCCGACTCGCTGGGGTTTTTACCATAATATTTATAAATTTTAGGCTGTTTTAATTTTTTCCTATTATTTGGGGGACGCACATACCTATTGGGGAAAATATATAAACTCACGATCGATTGCCAGCCATTGTCAATCACGGTACGTGCATTACTTTGCATATGTCGTTCGAAAATATTTAAAAACAATGCAGGTGTAAAATCACCTACATTCAAAATAGCCGTCGAGAAACTAGCCGTCGGAGCATTCGAAATATAGAAACGTGCTTTATCTGTCGGCGAACTAGCATTAAAATTCATTACATTTATGAGATATTTAAAAACAGTATTCATACTCTGTAAAAAATCCGGTAAACTACTCGCATTATTACGCCCCACACTAATATTATAAATAAATTCGTTGTGATTAAATCGTCGATTGACGCGTAATAATTCGGCACTAAACACTTCCGGTCGTATGCGTTTAGTTTGATTTGTGCGAATTATGTCCACAAGTTCGTGAATTTGCTGGGTGGAAATGTCATAACTGGGTACGGTATGGTTTCTAGTACGAATAATACGTACGATATCTTGTACGAGTTCCCCATCTACGTCATCGTCTTCGTCTCGTTTTCGTTTTTTCGACGCCGACGATGCCATAACAGACAACAACAACGCGTTGGCTTCACTTCCTCTTCTTCTTCCACACCCTCTTTCCCAGCGTCTGTAATATCCAATTGAATATTTGGACTTCGATTTACGTTTACAAACATACAATCGAACGTAACAAGAGGCGTATCACTACTACCCGTACACAATTTAGAACCCATTATAAATAATATTTGCGACGAGACAAGACGTATACAAATGGCGACGGGACACATAAACATTCATTTTAAATCACTTACAAACCCCAAAGAAAATTACGTAGCAAATTATGAATTTAACGATGATGATCAAGACATCGCAATCATACCTATATTATTTAACGATGCCCTTTCTCTGTGGTGTCACGACCATATCGAAGCATTTGTCGAAATATCCATCGACGATTTATGGTCTCGATTTGCAGATATGTGTACAACGTACGCGATTCCTCCACATCTGGCAAATAAAATAACCAATGCTATTAATTATATAGAGCGTCACAAAGACCAATACGCAGGCATTTCCGTAATCGTCTAAGCAATGGCGAGAACTAAAAAAACACCGCGGCGGCAAAAATTTGTATTAAATTTACTACGTCAGACACGACGTCGTCGAAAACGTAAACCCAAATCGCAAAGTATTCGAAAATCTCAACAATGTGCAAGCAATACACAAAAAGATGTACGTTGCCGTAAGCGAACAGCACATACAGAAAAATGTTGGATTCATCTAGCGAAGCAAAATAATTTACGCATTAAACCCTCCAATGTGGCGGGTGCGGGCAAGGGGTTATTTGCGTGGAAAAAACCTATCACGCGAGGAAAATTGATTTCAAAATATACCGGTCGTAAATTAAGCAAAAAAGAATTGGATAAAAAATATGGAGACGGTGTTGCAAAATATGCCGTATGCAATAAACGAGGGCGATGCGTTGATGCCACATACACCACGGATGCGGCAGCACGTTTTGTTAACGATAGTCGGGGTACATCTTTTCAAAACAATGCCAAAATAAAGGGCAATCAAATGTTTAAATTAAAAGCGACTAAAAAAATACCCGCCAACCAAGAAATATTTACTTCGTACGGAAACGAATATTGGGAATAAAAAACACTGTTTGTAACGGTAAATAATTATTTGTTAACCACGCGCGTACGAAAATATGGGTCGTAAACGAAAACAACACGGTGGAAATTTCCAGGGGAAAAAATATCAACGTAGGAAGAAACAGGATGGCGGGAATTTTTTTACGAAATTAAGAAAAAAATCCATTCTCGCAAAAACTTCTAACCGCGGGGAAACAGTTAGCACTGGGTGCATTGGGAGGGTCCCAACAAACACAAGCAAGAAACGTTCGACCTCTACCCCCCATGCCCGTCCGAAAAAATTACCAACAAAAAGGTGCAGGAATCAAAAAGAAACGCAAGGGTGGACATGCTAAGCTTAGAAATACTATACCGTCCGCAAAACATGTAATGTATCATCAATAAATGTTTACCTAAAATATTCCCCGTGTGCTGATTTCTTTACACGCTTCAACAAAAGACGACGTAAATTTCTACCGATGCGTCTTTTTTTGTAACACACACGCACACACAATAATTACTCCCATAAATTTCAAAGTCCTTTTATTCATGGTCCAAAATGTCGTCATCATTCCATATAAGGTAATCAACTTTTTACAAGTATGTTTTATTTAAATTTCGGTCGTTTATACGTAAATAAATTGAGTTTTAACATGGTGAAATAAAACTGAAGTATATTACATTCTCAAAAAATATCGAAATTTAGCCCGTCTCCATAATAAAAAATGTTCCATCGTCGTTGCATACGTCGATCGACTGGTGCTAACCCGCACCCCTTCACATATTTTTATAGCGTAATTTTAGCATCGTTCTGAATTCAAGCAATCGACAAATATTTGTATTTGATGTATTGTTTGTAGTGTGTTTTAAGCCCATCAAATACGGTCGTACAGCGCTTGCCAGACATCTTTTTTTACCCCCGAGACTAAATTCTCCGTGTTCATATTCGATAGCAGAAAAAAAATCTCTTATCACCCACAGTTGCATATACGTTAAAATCAATGGTTTTCCCACGGGTTGTAAAATTCGCATATCTATCTTTTCTTCCATAAAACATAACCGTAGAATTTTTTTCGAAAAACGTCTACAAAATTGTACCAAACCCACTATCTTCACCGAGCCACGTAGTTCATATTTTACATATTTAAAATATTTCAACATTCCATTCTTTGACCATTTTAACATTAACTCTCGCAATAGTTTCTCTTTAGCACCGGTTGTTTCAAAATAAAATGTTCGCGTACTAACCATTTTTACACCCTTCTAACACGAAGCCCACGATATACTGACTCGTTTTAACAAAATGTAAATATTTATCTGAAAACGCGCATAAACATTTAATACACGATGCTGGCTGAATACTATATCCCCGTGCTGCCATACGAACTAAACAACAGTGGTAATCCTCATCGTAATCATATTGATTATTATAATTAATAAATCCCACTACACATTTGTTCCTGTAAATCCAACGCGTATAGGGATATTTAAAGTACAACGTTTTGATATTATATTTGCGAAACACTGCCATGTTCTTGTACGAACTTCAACACGGCACTGTGCGAAGCTTCGATACCTAGTTCATTAGTCTCATTTAATAATGCCGAATAGTATTGTTCTCGAATCACGTTAAATTCACCGTCTATCAAAAAAACATCACAGGGTATTATATCATCTAAAAATGTTTCTACGTTACATTGGTCACTATAATCCGGTACGGGGTCACCTGCCTCGAGAAACTTATCAATTGTCATTATAAAATCTTTTAAATATTTACAACATCTACTACATACTAAAATATGTTTTAACATTTTCTGTAGATATTCGCTATCGTATTCTTGAAACGAACCGTCATTTTTCATCATATGAAGCGTCATATCGTCGAGATCCCCAAATATATATATAATATATAACATATCCACTTGAAACGATGTTGTTTTAAATATTTCAAACAAGGGTTTTAAACCCAAAAAAATCGGTATTTCATATAACAAGTACGCTTTTTCTTCATTGCAGGGTCCACACCCCACGTGAAAATAAGACGCGTCCTTAAGATAGGGTTCGCCTAAGATCATCTCTTGACAACGTACCAATTTACAATCGGTGCGCTTCAAAACTTGACGGCAGCAAAACTCGAAGGATTTTAAAATCATGTACCCATTTTTATCGAATACCACTTTTTTCACCCATTCGCAAGGTATAACATACACGACCCCTTCGCTATATCTTGGCGAAATCAAAGCTTCGACCGTAGGATTTTCGTTTTCGTCTTTAAATTTATCATCGTAACAAATGATAGAATTCAAACCACTGCCCACACCACACAGCCACGGTTCTTTTTCCAGAAATAATCATAAATAACACGTTCTTTGTTCATGCGAGGTTTTCTGATACGTAACGTACTATTTACAGAATACAAACGCCATAAAATGGGGTGATGTTGATAATTTTTCAATAAAACATCAAACGCCTCGATAGCCGACTGTCCTTTCGAAAGATCTATGAAGTCCGACATGTTTGTGCTAACTCGTTTAAGAAATGTGCAAATACCTGAACTTCATGTCTTGAACAATGATAATCACCATACAAATGATACGGACAACGTTCGGGTGTCATACCATATTTGGTAATCAAGTTCGCATACTTTTCACACCCCAATAACTCGATATTAATTCCCTTTGTACCCAATTTCTTTAATAAATCTCTTTCGATAGTACCACCCTTATAACCCACCAAATCTGCAGAGGTCATAAACTCTTCGCATAACACTTTATACACGTCACGATATTGTAAAAAATCCTCGTTTTTTTCACGCACCACGGGTAGACCATGTACGTGGTGAATTTGATAGTGTACTACCCTTGGATTTATATAAATATCGGGCATATAAATTTGAAATGAAAATGTCTTTTCGTCTCGTATCCGATACACAGACACCTCTCTTAAATAAACTTGATTTTTCCCCAACGTGTATGCTTCACAATCCATAACGTGTGTAATTCGGCTGACAATATCTTTTTGATATTTTCGTACATGATTTTTTTCCCAATTTTGAATTTGATTATGTTGTTTTTCAAACCAACGCTCTACAACCTCCATACTAGATAACACACACACACTGAATGATAAAAATTTTTATTTTTTATTTATAAATCTGTTTATTATACACTCGCAAACACAATACGGTTTGGCCGCATTACATTTACAGTTCATTAGTAAAATAACTTCTATTCGCATAATATTTTTGTGCATAAATAATATAAGTTTGAATTAAATGTTCGCTAACAAATACGTTATAGTCTAAACAGAGTGTTCTACAAATCTCCTTCACGTCCGCGAGTTCTTTTTTCAGTGATTCCCTCATCAGCGCATAATAAATATCGTTCAAATTATTTGACATTTGAGAATAAGTATCAAAATATCCATGTCTGCAACCACTTGTGTACCGAGGCATACGACACCCCATAGATTCCCGACAAACACGACGCTTGGTGATAGAGGGTAACCATTTTACCAAAAATCTTGATACAATATGCTTTCTAGCACAACGTACGGACGTTAAAATCACATCCAACGACAATATCGCACGTTCCAAATCCAAATGTTTTACAACAACGTACATATAATAACCAAAAGAGAAAATATTCTCGGCATATAACAAATTCACGGTTTTCTCCCCGTCCGTATTCGAATAACTCTCTCGACGAAGAACATCGTAAACTTCTAGCTCCTCTTCGCAAGGTGTAGCTTGACAAAACATTTAATCACAAACATATCCCAAATCTTTAAACTGTACAACACACGAAGCACACATTGTCTCACAACGACATCTCGGGGGTACATACTGCAGATTACGTCGTTCTGTACTCCACGTGATACATTTACACGACGACGTCATGAAATCTTTAACAGTATACTGTAGTTTTAAAAGATACTTAATAATACGCGCCAATCGATAAGACGGATACATGTGCAATACTGTATTGCATACTTCGCGTAAAACTTCGTCGCTACACTGTGTGCATTGATCGATAGCGGCCATAAAAAGTTTTGTTTTCTGATATAAAAATGTGTGTAAACTTCCCACGTATTCCTCGTCGTGACATATCAAATCGATACTGGTTGTAACCAACCAAAACGGAGGGCTCCATACACGATCTGTTGCTATATACATCGATTTACACGGGTGCATATAAAAATCAACCTCGATCAGTCCACAAAATCCCAACGAGAAACATACGCAACCGATTACCAGACGTCTTGTCGAACTGCCCGCAATAATATACATATTTTCAAAATAAAAATAACATTGTGGGAATGTTATTATACACCCCCCATTTACAATATTACTCTGTATCTCATCGATTCCCACGGGTAATTTTAAATAATAACGCCACATTTCTTTTACCAACGTTAAAAATTTATCGTCCCTAAACAATAACTCTTGAATTTCAACCTTGTCTTCGTTTTCTCCGATGTGTGTATTTTGACGTACGCTATCCATGCTTACACGTGGGGTGTGAATACCACGGTTCGAAGAAGGGAAAGTATTTTACAACACACCCCCCCCCCCTGCAATTTGACAACATGCGCATACGTGCATTCCTAAGCATCGTACAATAATAAACTAAAACTTGAGTTAGACGACATGACCCATACATTCGTATACTGTCGGAAATCCTCGTACATAAATTCTGCACCGATATATCCATACTGCTATGCTGAAAAATAGTTTCGATAAATGTTTCCACGCGACCGTACACGTATGTCTTCAGTGTTTTACATGTAAAAAGCGTATTCGTAAAATAAAGCACGTTAAAATTACGTTTAATTTCAATATACGGTGTACGATATTTTACAGGATCCGTATATGCTTTCTCCGGTGTCATGTGAAAAACCACGTCGATAATCACATAAATATCCCGACTCCAGCATAGCATCATCATCGAAATTACATGCGTATTCTGCTTTGCAACAGAATTTAAAAAATAAAAATAAGTCTGTGGGAACGGTGCAATCACCGCATTATTTACCAACCACATGGGTTTATTCAGTGATAGTTTTAAAGTATTTTCTCTTGAAAACGTTAAAATAAAATTTAACAATTGTTTATCGATAGTCAACAAACGTTTCACTTCCAAAACATCGAACTTGTCGTCGCACATTTCATTCTGTAGGGGTATATCAACGGGTAACAAGTAATCGCGAATCTCTTGCAACCGATCCATTTCAACAATAACCCCCCGCACAATCTAAAAAAAAAAAATCCCTATATCTCTTTCCAAACACCCGTTGCTTTAGCCTTTAATATATCTTTGATGATCGCTTGTAATAACGCATAACTACATAGTATCTTTGTTCTTTCAACTATTATTTTAATCATTGTCCACACATCGTCCAACGTATAAATTTTACGTAGTGCAATGTCAAGCAATAGAGATAGTGGTGAAGAATGATCAAAAAACTGAGCATTATCATCTTTAAAACATACGGGTATTCTCATAAGATTTCTATACGTATCGTTTACACGCACATCCACAAAACTCACATTATACGTATTTATACCAAACGCTTTGTATCAAGTCGTCCCGTTAAAACATATTGTATATTATAATAAACAGAATCATTAAAATAAAATGATATGTCAGATGTCACAAGTCTGTTTCTCGACAATGTACGATTTACTATAAGTTTTATTTTTTTGTCGTATTGCTCACCATCAACCATAGTAGAACCAGTAGCCATTTCTTGAACAATTTCTGTAAATATTTTCACACACTCGCCAGTACAAGGTATCCAATATCGTAACCAGACTAGCAAAAGTATGCTAATCAACAAGGTCAACAATGTTTGCAAATCCCACATTCTTTGCATTTTTCGTCGAATTATTAAACGACATCTTGCCAATAATTCTTTCATTCTAAGAAAAACAGATCAATCATTTGTTACAACCCCACACAACGCCAAACCATATTTGGTAATCGACTTTTTAACTCAACCATATTAGGTAATCTACTTTTTTACCCTGTCACATGCATTAATCTACTTTTTATGTCTAAGACAATCGCAAAGAGTTTTCAGACAGTTTATTCACTACGCAATGGCTTCAGCACAGCAACAGCAAGATCTAAAGCTCTTCTTTGAATATCAAGGAGTTGCGGAAAACGACGTAAATCGACTACATTACATTCAGAAGTTTACAGATTTCCAATTTTTTAGACTAGCTAACCCACTATACTCGTCGTTCGACAGAGCCTACATCAAGTGGTTACAACAACCGATTTATCAAACAATGGAAAGCAGCGCAATTATTACACCACAACCGCCACAAACCTTTTTCAACGTACAACCACCACCGTACACGTCACCGCCTGTCCTGAACAATGTGAACGAATACTATAATAACGATCTATTAAATATCATGAACCCAATAAACCCAAATACTTTATACCCCAACAACGAAGCAGAATATCTACTGAATGAAACAACGACCGAAGTACTAGAATCAAGTAGCGATAATCAATCTCCCGCAACATCCCCCGCAACCGTACAACCTCCCGCGACCCCCGTGAAAAATAAACCCCTAACCCCTATGGGTAAAAACATAAACAATTTAAAAAAAAGTTTAAAACGAAAAGCGTCGTCGTCCGCTCCTAAAAGTGGAAGACCAAACAAACATGTGCATCTCACGCGGATTGCGAACGATCAAGCAGACGAGGAGAAAATCAGCTCGCAAGACGTAATTCTCTACGCATTGGATGGTACAGAGAAAAAACGAAAAACAATTTTAACTACTAGCAACGAAACTCTTGAAACCTACAACATAAAACACTACCAATGCTACATATACCTAGGCGATGAACGCGAACAAGCATTGGAGAGAATTAAAGTAGAAAAAGACAAGCTAGAAAAACTTTGCTATCTTGAAAAATTCACGATAGAAGCGTTAAAAAATCGTAAAAGTAGAAAACTCGAAAAAAATGTTTTGTAAATAATTGTATAAAAATAATAAATAAATGATATAAAAATTGTATGCGTGTAATATATCACTACCCGAAAAACACCCGTAATTTCGGGTTACTCACACCCGAAACATGGTCAACAACCCGCAAACACCCGCGACGCCCTAAAATCGGGCGCGACCCGCCAGCATAAAAGAGCGCGAACTTCAAATGCAAAATCACTTCGGTCGACCGCGGCTTTGGAGTAACATCTCGCCCCAGCCCCCTCCCAAAACACCATTCTCGTAAGAACGACGCCTCTCCCCCCCCAAAAAAACAAATCCCACACCCTCCAGAGCGCGCAGCAGGAGAGCACATTCCAGAAGTCACATGACCACAAAAACTCCCCCCGTCCGTACAGCCCACCACACCCATGGCCAACGCCCTTCAGGACACTCTCGCGCAATACTAATCCCAATTAATTTTTTCTGGTTCCCGCTCCCCCTTGTTTTTTTATTGTATATATATAACGACTACTGACATCAACAACAACAAGAACCACAACGACAGCGATGATGATAACACAACAACAGTAACATCGACAACGCTTATTGATTAACTACTGAAAAACAAGTACTTAATAACTATCCTGGAATTGTTGGAGAAGTTTATGTCTTAGTTTTAACTTAAAGTTTGAAATAGAATTGCACCGACTTAAGTCAGGGCCAATGTTGTTCCAAAGAGTGACAGTTCGATAATGGAATGTTCTTTGTCCAGCAGCTGTTTTGTACAATGGAACATCCAGACTTTGTACATTTCGTGTCTCACGAGAGCTCACTTCACCTCTGGTTATGAACTGCGACGACAAGTAGTTGGGGGCACAATTTTTCATGCATTTGAAGGCCAGTAGAGCATCACGATAGTAGAGATGCAATTTCAAGGGAAGCCACTGTATTTCCTTTAGAATCGGGGTGATGTGGTCGAACGTTCTTGTATTCGTCACTACTCGTGCTGCAAAATTCTGGACCCCTTGAAGGCAGGATAGGTTACTGCTGGAAGTGTTTGACCAAAGTGAAGAACAATAGTAAAGCTTGCTGAAAACCAAAGCATTGATTACAGTTACTAACAGATTTTTATTGAAGGCGTGTTTAGCTCGATTTATCTGACAGAGGCTTGATTTGCAGGATGAGACGGTGGAAAAGGATATGGTTGTCGAAAGATAGGATTGGGTCAAACGTAACTCCCAGATCTTTGACTGTTGCAGCAGGTGTTAGTTCTTTACCGTGTAGTGAGAGTCTAAATTCAGGTAGCCTTGCAAGCATTTGACGACTTCCGTAGACCATCAATTTGGTCTTGCCTGGGTTGAGCAAGAGCAGGTTGTCGAAACACCAATTTCGAATTCTAATTAAGTCTTCATTCAGATCAACCAGAGCAGCATTACAGTCATTGATATGGAAGGACAGAAGGAGTTTAGTATCGTCAACATACGATTCGGAGCAACATGTTTTAGTGGCAGACGGTAGACCATTGACATAAATACTGAACAGCAATGGACCGAGAATACTTCCTTGTGGGACACCACTAACCACTGGCAATTTCTCAGATAGAGTAGAATTTATGCGTACTGCTTGATATCTTTCGCTCAGATAAGTTCTAAACCAAGTTAGGCATGGAGATGAAATGCCAACATCCTCCAATTTAGCAAGAAGTATATTGTGATTAATGCTGTCAAAAGCTTTACTCGTGTCCAAAAGAATAACTGCCGTGACTTTCTTCTGGTCGATTGCTTTGAGAATGGAGTCGGTGGAATGGATGAGGGAGGTTTCCGTTGAGTGCCAGGTTTTGTTGCCATTCTGATGCACAGAGAGGCGACGATTGATGGTTAGGTAGGAGGTTAGTTGATTGAGTGCTACTCTCTCGCATACCTTAGAAAGAACGGGTAGGAGGGAGATTGGTCTGTTGTTATTGGCTTGCTCATGATCACCTTCTTTCAGAATGGGGATTACTTCAGCAATTTTCCAAGCACTTGGAAAAATATTGTTGACTAACGATTTGTTTATGATGGATGTAATCCGTGGTGCAATAACGGGAAGACAGTCCTTGATAACGCTTTATCTATTCCTGGTGCCTTCTTATCAAGCATTGACTTCACAATATATTCTACTAAGGAACATTCCACAGGTTCAAAGGTAAACTGATCTAACTCGGTGTAACTGGTTGGGGCAAATGGTAATTGGGAGGGAGTGTAATTATTTTCTTTAGCAAGTGATTTAATTTTCATGACGGTGTTTGAACCGACAGCTGTAAAAAATTCGTTAAAGTTATTTGTGACAGATTTATCATCATTACTGAATGACTTCTTTCTAGTAGTTTTCTTGGGAATACATGTTCGAATTACTTTCCACATATTGCCTGTGTCCTTTGGGTGCTTCTTTATTTCCTGCTCCACATACGATCTTTGTGCTTGACGTAATTTCCGTTTAACATCCCGTTTGTAGTCCCTGTAAGTACACCACACAACAGGATCACCAATTTTCCGAGCTATTTTTCTCCAACAATCTCTTGTTCTCGTCAGCTTTTGAATCTCTTCTGTAACAAAGGGATGTGGACGAACTCTCACTTTAACTTTTCTGACTGGTGCATGTTGATCAAGAATCCCATTAAATAACACATCAAAAGCATTCAAACTGTCATTGACATCGTCAAAGTTGTTAATGACGGACCATGGAGCATTATATATGTCCTCACAAAAGGCCTCTGGGTTGTAATTCTTGAAACTTCGGACAGAGACATAGACGGGCTTTGGACGACACTTCTTCAGGGTCAGGGTTGACATAACCACATCGTGATTGCTTATTGAATTCGGGATGACTTTCGCTTGCTTCATCTTATTCTTTGAAGAGGTAAGGATTACATCAATCAATGTACGGGAATGTTCAGTAATTCTGGTGGGTTTATCAACCAACTGTGTCAGGTTGAAACAAGTGCAAAAATCTAAAAGAGAGCGGTGTCCCGGGTCATTCGTATCTAGGACATTGCAGTTGAGCTCTCCCAGGATGTAGATAGGTTTGTTAAAGGACAAAGCTGACGTCAAGGTTTCACTGAAATCATTCTCAAAACAAGATAAACTAGTACCAGGTGGACGGTAAGCTGTACATACGAAAAATGATCTGAAGTTCATAACTTGTATCTGTAGCCATAACTGATGTAAGCCAGAGTCCGCAATATAGGATAGTTCATTCACGGTCTCACATTTGAAACTTTGGTTGATATAGGCACAGACACCACCTCCTCTCTTTCCGTCACGATCAAGTCTAAATAGACCATATCCCGGAAATTCAATTTCACTATCAGTGATAGAGTTGTCCAACCAAGTTTCTGAGATAGTGAAAATGTCCAATCTCTGTTTCAGGACAAAGTCCTTTACCAGTAAGTGGTGCTCTTTGTTCTTTAGGGAACGGATATTTAAGTGACGATCGTAATGTTACCTTCATTTGACGATGTTTTTGCTGTGTTGACTTTATTGGTTGATTGGGAATTACTCTCAGACTCAGCTGGACCGGGATTAGACTCTACATCCATATACACAGTAAGATCGATGTCCTTGTGAAAATCTGGGGGCGACAAATAGATTTGTCCATGTTTAGTCCAGTTAACTTGGGATGTACGTAAAGGAGCTTTCAGTTGACTGCGCCGTTTAGTTTTCAGAACGCGACGTAACAGAAAAGAATATAAAATTTCAGTTGTGTCCGTTATATTCAAAACACTGGTGATAACATACGCATTGTCTAAACTGGGACACTCCAAATTGACAAATTTCGATCTTGCACAAGAAGCATTCAGTATTTCTCCAGTAATTTGATTACGTCGAAAAATAATCCACAGAAATATAATAATGCAGCTGAATTTAGTTAAAAACATCTTGAATTTTCACTCAATTGTTCTTATTTGTTCTAATTCTATGTTCTTTTCGACGCACACGCTCAATTAATTCAAGCGTGCGCAATGGCGTGCTCGATTGTACTCGTCAGCCAACGGTCCTCCACTTGCGCGTTCAGGAAAAAAAACTTAAAATCCAAATTCGGTGCAAATAACAACGAAAAAGCACCAATTATTCAGCAACTGTTCGGAATATTCGTCAAAATACCTTATATTATCCACGTACACAACTTTTATTCACAATTCTGCAGCGTAATGCTGTTAAAAATCCAAAGAAAGACGCAAAAATCCCACATAATTTACGGAGCTCACGCCGGCAATCACGAATCAGATATCATCATCGCTGATGACAATCACCTCCACAGGACGAGCTTCGGTTGCCCGAGTTGTTGAGGTAATTTCAGCATTTTGTAATGGCGGCCATCTTGCTGGGCGCCGTTCTGGGCGCCGTGGTGGTGCCGGTGCTGCTGCAGGTACAAACTGTTCTGTGCGCCGTTCTCGCCGTTCTGGTGGTAGTGGCCTATAGGAATTCTTTGTCTTTCTGTAAGAGCGTTCCTTCCTACATTTGACCAGGGCAAAAAGATTTTTCCGTCATTTCTCCGCCATCGTCGACCATGACAACATCTTTTGTTGAAATTCGCAAGACAGAATGATCCACAGAAAAATATACCACTGCATGTACAGAATGACACTGAATGAAAATTTCCAACCTTATATATAGTCTTCTTAGAGTTGATGACTCAATCAGCCGTATTACAAGATCAATCAGCCGTATTACCAGCTCAATCAGCCGTAGTACCAGCTCAGCCAGACATAGTACCAGCTCAACCAGACATAGTACCAGCTCAACCAGTCGTAGTACCAGCTCAACCAGTCGTAGTACCAGCACACCCAGTCATAGTATCAGCATAACCAGCCATAGTATCAGCACAACCAGCCATATTGCCAGCACAACCAGTCATAGTACTAGGTGAACCAGCCATATTACCAGCTGAACCAGTTGTATTACCAGCAAAAACAGTCGTATCATCAAAAAGAAAAATTCAGCATGGCCTTGGTGAGTGGTGTGTAGGAATGATTGTGACACTGGCTGGATAATAATTGGCACAAAAACCTGGAGGTCACCGGTTCAAATCCGGTCCACAGTCAACAGTTTTCCCTTTACACTATATATATATGTATATGTATACGTCATCCTCGTTTCCAGGGCTTCTCGGGTGCCTGTGTTGCCATAAGCCTAGGGACAACCAAGGCAGAAGTGATTTGATTGGTCGTTAGAAATAGAGTGAAGTATGAAAAATGTATTCATCAAGTGGATGTTTATATTCAGCAATATGGCTGCCTTCAAGGAGTGCATGTTCGAACTACAAAACAAATATTTACGACAAAATGGTAACAGTTATCAAA